GAGGAGACAGTTCTCCTCTGAACGCCTTTTTATGAAGCGGTGTAAATCACTTCTCCGAATGAAGGGAGAAGCGGTCTACAAACGCTTTGAACACTGGAAAATGGCTGCTTTTACTATAATCTCACGAGATTACAGTAAGAGATCAGTCAAACACCATTTACTAAGCTCTGGGCTGGAGAATCTGGAGGGAGAACACAGATCGCCAGTGAAGGGCTGACATCGCTCCATCATACACTGGCCGTCTGTGTGCTGAGATGATCAGCGGAGAACATGTTCTCCACTGATCATCTCTGTTTCCTAAACCAATAATGATCGGAGATCAACAACGATCCTCAGGATCGCCGCTGATCTCTGTTTCATAAAAGGACACCTGTATAAGGCTGTACATGATTTGGAAAATGTCACCTTTGGTCAAGAGAAATCTCCCCACAGGAACATTGATAACATTAAACTGTTTTGAATGTACAGTAGTTTCACTATTATGAGGACGAGACCTAAAGCTAAATACATTTCTTGTTTTGCAGAAAACACTAAAAAAAAGGCCACACACTGATAACAGTACACCATTTATTCTGTTTAGGCACAATTGGGACGAAATGCATCAGCGGGGTTTGACCACAGGGGTTTGACCACAGGATGGGACTATCAGTAAGCTGGTCTGGATGTTTGCTGGGAAACTCTGAGCATGGAATGGCTCCCAACTCCAGGCCTTGATTTACTGTTTTGAGCAGTGCTTGTCTCTGGGACATTTTGTGTTTAAATTTGGAATCAGTATGGGGTTATTTTTGAATTCATCATTTGGATCAGGTATGGGATCCAGTGGTTAGTAGATCAACTAAGTTGCATATAACCACAACCCCCCATCACTTTTCACTTTTATTGCTGTTACAAGGAATGTAAATATCCCTTGTGACAGCAATAGACAGTAACAAGTACTCTTTATGGAGTGATATGGGGTCTACTAGACCCCAGATTCTCCTCTGCCCTTACAAGCATTTGATCACACCAACATTGTTGTGATCCGATGCTTTTTTGTTTTACTTTTCTGTTTTAAAAATTGTGCTGTTTGCATCCAGGGAAACTGGAAGTGAAGAAAATGATTGTTGTTTCTGGTTTCCTATACCACAGAGTTCATTGGGACCTTCCTGTCCTAAAAAAAGCTCTATTGTAAACCAGCGGAAGCCGGCTTCAGTTCTGGGTTCTTCAGTGGGACAGAAAACCCAGAGAAGCCCTGATGGGTGGCAGGAGGGGGGGGGGGGGGGCGACGCCTCCTGCTGTCTGTAAAAGCTATAAGGATGGCTTTTACAAAAAATGTGTCCAACATCAGTAAAAAATGATACCGAATATGCCACTTGAAAGCTGCAACATACATGTACAGTATAGTAGGTGATCTTCAAATGGTTACACTGGCATCCTTTAAGGACGTACAGACGTTTTGCATTTTGAACATAATATTAAAAATATACAAATGTTAAAACTGTCATATTAGCATAACCAAACCTCAAAATAGGAATAAAAGTACTTATTGGACAATCCTTTAGAGAGACACATTTTAAAATATTGTTTTTTTCTATAAGAATGACCTAAACTAAGATGAGATACAAGATACCTAAGATGATAAAAGACAATTTGTCCTGATTGAAAAAAATACTTCATTTAATCCTTTGACATTGCCTTATCTTAGTATCAAAGATAGGTCACTCATCTGTGTTCATACATTCCAGACCATTTCACTTACTGAGATCTCCAGTTTGTATACTGCAGAGGTGCCTCTTAGATAGCCTTAAAATTATTCAACCCTTTAGATATTTGTATTTATTAGATGACTGTCTTTAATGTCTTTGGAGTATGCAGTCACATTTTGACTAACTACACACTAAGGCTTATTTAAATCAGAGACACATCTGCAAAATGAAATAACCCTGAGCAATGAATCAGCAACCATGTTTGTCATTTCTGACTGCTGTCAACATTGCACTGCTTTACTAAAAGTGAACCCTAAGAAGATGGAAAAGCACCAATTGTTTTTGTTATGTTTTGTCATGTTTTGTTACAAATAATTACATGCATTTTAAATGCAGCCAAGTTCTTGAATTAGTTTGATATCTACTTTTTTATACCCAGTTTCAGACCTTGGGCGTGATCAGGGGTGGACTGACAACTCATGGGGCCCCCGGGCAATAGGGGATCATGGGGCCCCTGTGTCCTTGCCCAATTTCAAAAAAGCCTATGAAAAAGGTACCAGGGACATCTCATTGGGCCCCCTACTGACCCTGGGCCCTTGGGCAGTGCCCGAGTTTCCAAATGGGCAGTCCTCCCCTGGGCGTGATACAAATTCCCAAAAAAAGGGTCATCTTTGTTCACAGGATGTGTGTAGCATGCTCCCCCCCTCCCAGTGCAAAGCAGTTTGACTCTGATTAATCAAAGCTATATTAATGTGTACACAGAGAAGGTTGGCAGCTTTCTGCTGTAAAAAAAAGCAGTTTGACAGTGTTTATAAACAACACTTGCTCAGATACAATGTGACACATTGTTACTTTTTGTATCATTCTGTTCATTCACCTGCAGATCAATGTGATCAAATGATAAACTTTGATCTGCAGATGATGTCAGTTAAAGCAACCTGAAAAGTAAAAACAGTTTTTTCTTTTCTTTTTTTTTTCTACTCTAATCAGCCTTGATTAACTCCTTATTCTTCTTATCCATTCAATTATTATATTTCTGATGATTATTTTTGTTCATTCCTATTTTATTAACCATTAATATTTAAGAGTTTTTGTTTTCATTTGTTTTATTTGTTAATATTTAAACAACTTCACTGTTAGGGACTTTCACCTCCTCCCTGTCCAGGACAATTTTCAGCTTTTTTTTTTTTGTTTTTTTTTTAGACAGAGCTCTTTTTTGATGGCATTTAATCAATACTGATTTTTTTTTATTTTTTTTGCTAAACAAATGAAAATGTAAAAAAAAAAGTTTTTCTTAGTTTCTATTATAAAATGTTTCAAATAAGTCATTTTTGTTCTTCACTGATGTACTCTGATGAGGCTGCCCTGATTATCAGTGTAAACCATGTACTGACAGTCATGCCGGTTATTGGCTTTTCTTTCTTCACACAGACACAGCATGTGAGGAAAGGACTGCCCATAACCAGCAAATCTGTTCACATGTGATCAGCTGTGATTGGACACAGCTGATCACATGGTAAAGGGCTGCGTGATTGGCCCTTTACCTCAATCCGTGATCCACTGTGTCCAAAGGACACAGCAATCACAGAGGGTGCACAGGGGGCAGGGTTCTGGGAGGATGTCCATGGATGCCCTCCCAGAACTAGACAATCGCACTGTAGCGATCTTCTGGCTATAGCATGGTCAAGAAGCAGTTAAACATATATTTACAGGTTTCCCATTTAAAAAGCACAAAACTGAAAAAAACCCACTTTATTTCATTTGTAAATAATTTGTTTATGCTTTGTACCAGAATCAGATTTTTAGTGCTATTTTAAACAGGACAAATTACAGAATAAAATGTACAGGTTTTATCTGCAGTAACATTATTTTTAGGCTTGGTTCACACTGGATGTGATTTAAAATTGCGCGTTTTGTTTGCAATTTCACCACGGTGTCTGAAGATTTCCCAATGATTTCTTGCGTTTTCCATTGCATTTTGCAGTGCGATTTCTATTGTAGTTTATATGTGAAATCACTACAAACTGCTGAAAAAGTAATACAAGAACTACTTTTGAAATCATGCTGCAGTATATGTTAAGACACTCACATTCATTAGATCCAATTTCAGGTACGAATTCAATTCCCAAATCGCACATGAAATCGCGGCAGTGTGAACCAGCACTTAAACTAACACTGGTAAAAAAAAAAGTGTATTTTGTTTCATTTTGTTACATTTATTTATCTAATAATTGTAAGACAATAACCATGCAAAAATGCCTTGTTTGTTCTTAAAAAAGCAATATATGTATTACCTTGTTACTGTGAGTAATGACAAAGTTATTACTATGGGCCTCCAGAGCTGAAATGTAAAAATTGCTCCATAGGGTGTGAACAGGTGTACAAGGCAAATTGTTTAATACCCCATACAGCAGTATATTTCTTCAGATTTTTTTAAACATATATTTTTACATATATTTGTAAATGCATTCCAAAAATGTAGATTTGTGTATTTAAAGACATACAGTATATTTGAAATGTATTTTTAAAAATATTTTTCATATATTGTGTAATAGAAACACATTTCATACAGTATATATATATATGTATATATATAATTTTTGAAATATATTTTTAAATATATTGAATATGGCCAAAATTGTAGCATTTCAAATATATGTCAATATATTTGGGAAGAATATTTTTAAAATATATTTCAAATATATTTTTCTTCCTTATGGGTCATACAGACTGAGAGATACAGGGAGGGCCAACTGGGCCTTGCTGAATGTACTTTAACCTCCCTAGCGGTCTGATTATGTCAGTATTTCTGTGCTCAAAGCGGTACATTTTTTTGCATGGAAATATGTTCTTTTTTTATTGTAGGCCTATAGTTCTTAGGAATAACTCACTGAAATCTGTCTGAACAAGAGTCTAGTAAACACCCTGGGTATGATAAAATTTGAAACGTGAAATCATAAATTATAATATAATAAATAATCATAAAAATAATAATATAATAATTTAATTCAATAATGTAATCAAACCAAAAACACTGAAATTTGAAATAGAGCACCAAGTTCACACATCACTGAGCTTAGTCACAAAATCGTGGTTCTAATTTACTATCGCTGTTCTCTAGCTGGCCTAAAACTGCTGTTGACATAAAGGGATGCTTTTTGGACTCCATGGACATTTCTCAGTATCCAGGCAGAAAGAACAGTAAAAATGCAGGCAGGGCACAGAACAAAGCACTCGGGACAAAATGTATATGAAAAGCTTTCATACAGTAATGTTATACTATCAGATTTTAGTGTATTTAGTGAATGTCAAATTTGTACATTTTTGAATTTCCCCCCGGTTCCATCCCCCGTATGTCCCAACGCTCGCAGGGAATGGAACCCGGAAGGCGGATGCCGGCATCGGTCGGAGGAGATGGCCAGGGACACTGCAGGGGGGACATCGTGGGAGCGCAGGACAAGGTAAGTGCTGGAGGGATCCCAGAGCAAAGCTGCAGTGTAATCCCGAGTAGCTCAGGGTTACCGCTTCTGGTACTGAAAGTTTACCCCGAGCTACATTCGGGAATACCACCAGGGAGGTTAAGGGCCAGTTCACACTATAGAAACACAGTCCAAATGCGTTCTGGATGAGTTTCAGCATGCGCATTTTTTATGCTTTTTTGGTGAGTTTTCAATGCGTTTTTGATGTGTTCGGTGCATTTTTGATGCTTTCTGGTTAATTTTTCCCCTCTCTTTTTCTTCAATTTAAATAGGGACATGTGCATTCAATTGCATTTTTGGTGTGTTCCAGTGCATTTTTGATGCCTTTTACTGCGTTTCAGTACAGTTCTGTTCTGTGCAGGAAAAATGCAGCCTGTTCTTTTTTTTCTGCATCCGGAACGCACTGGAGCTGCAAGTACTGATGTGAACTATGACATTGACCACCATATAACCTACTTTCCTTGCGTTTTGAATGCAGAAAAAAGTACACTGAAATGCATGTAGAGTGAACTGGCCCTTAATGACAATGATCATGTTTATGAGGTGAAAGAGCAAAGCAAAGTTTTTCATAATCCAATGAAATGTCAAGGGTATGGGTTGACCAGCAGTCATGCAAGTCAATGATGAGCATCCGGCACCAATGTTTATCCAAAGTATTTGGACCACAAAATCATCTGAACAGAATTACAATAGTGTGTTGAAATGTTTGCCAGGAGTCTAGTTTCCAGTAAGCCATATTACTTGTAATTCTACCAATCAGAATAGATATATAACCAAGGAAGAGCAGGCCTCTGTTGCTGTCTGAATCTATGCCGAGTTTCTTAGTTTTTAAAGTTTCAGTTATTTTAGGTACCATTTTTACATCAGTAATGCAAAGGCCTAACCACAGGCTAAAATTCAGTGGTAGATGTACATATTTTTTTCAAACTATGGGCCCAGAAGGAAGCAGGAATATCTTATTATCACTTCTATCACATAACATTAAAAGGTTAGATGTGAAAATGGAAAAATCCATATCCAGCTTTTTGTGTCTAATGACACAAAGGCTTTAAAAATCTACTCTGTCTTTGCTACTTGCCTTTCAGATCCAGGCAGGCGATCATGAAAAAGTACTGCGGATTGACCGGTAGCCAAGTGTCTCCAGCTGGGAGGGCAGAATGTTAATGGTGTCACATCTAAAAAACAAAGAACAGTACAGTAGTTCATGGCCATCCTACTCAGCAGAGTTCATCAGAGCCACTTGAACCTGTAAACAATGATTCAGGCTAAAACCTGAGATGCCTTTTACAAAACTTGTAACAAAGTTAAAAACAGAGAACTTTCTTTTACTTTCACTGCTTATTTTCTTTTTACACACGGAGGTGAACATTGGTACATTGAGCCTGGGTTCACACATGTGCAGTGCGGCATATCGCATGTAATTCGCACTGGAACCGCACTGCATTCCTGTGCAAATCACATGAGAATTCTTTGCATTTTCTGTACATTTTGTATGGCTCAAATCGCATCACATCCGCACCTACAAGGTGCAGGACCCTTTTTTTAGTCTGCACTAGAATCAGATTGCATGGGTATTCACACCTATGCGATCCGATTCTGCACATCGCACCGCATTTTGTGGACCGATTTTGGGGTGTTGCTAACTTAACATACACACTTGCAGTGGTTCGCATGAACGGGGTGCAATTCTGAAACCGCATCAGTGTTAACCCAGACTTATGCCCCGTACACACAATGAGAAAATCGTACAAAAAATTTAGCAGAATCACTGATTGAATGATTTACTCTTCGTTGATGAGTAGGATGTTTTAACCGTTAACAATATTGTGAACGAAAAAATCCCGTTGAACAACAGTGAAAAATTTTGTCGTTTAGCATACGGACAACCGATTTTCTATGCAGTGGTATGACGGTCGTACGGAAAAAAATCTATCAAGCGCTATCACGCATGAGTGGAAACAGAAGATGACCCGATTGTTTATGTCCAAGGAATCTTCGTAAACACGAACGAAAAATCCAAATGTTGAAAGTAGATTGGCCTAATGAGATAATGAAACCAGAATTCTGCAGATTATATTTTATGTATCACTATTTATGTACATAGGTAATGTAATAAACTATATTATACTCATTGCTGTTAATTGTTGTGTATATCGCTCGTTCTGGATGGAAGGGCGTTGGCTACAAGGTCACACGCACACTGCATCACTTCCACTTGTACAGAAGATTGCCCGACAGACAATTTTTTTAGATTGGTTAATGTGGGTCACGATTTCGATCAACGAACGAACGCCTCTCGGTCGGCGGATGACCGATCGGTCGATTGTCATGTATTCCCACCTTTAAAGCAACTATTCTTATTCCGAAAACTTGTTTGATAGCTGAATATATTTTAGTTGAAGTACATTTGTTAACCTCCTTGGCGGTATTCCCGAGTGTAGCTCGGGGTAAGATTTCAGTACCAAGAGCGGTAACCCCGAGCTTTACTCGGGCTTACCCTGCGGTGTTGCTCAGGGAGTCCCTGCAGCACTTACCTTGTTTCGCTCCCACAATGTGTCCCCTGCAGCGTCCCCGGCCATCTCCTCCGGCCGATGCCGGCATCCGGTTTCTGTGTTCCGGTCCCTGTGACGTCGGGACGTACGGGCGCCGGAACCGGCGGCAAATTGGAAATTTTTAAAAAATGTCATTTTTTTTAAATGATTATTATATAGTAAAACATTGCTGTTTCAATGCATTTCACATATATTTTGTCCCTACTGCTTTATCCTGTGCCCTGCCTGCATTTTGACTGTTCTTTCTGCCTAGAAATGTCCATGGCATCCAAAAAGCATCCCTTTATGTCAAAAGCAGTTTTAGACCAGCTAGAGAACAGCGATAGTAAATCAGAACCACTTGCAGAATTGAGTGATAATGATTCGTGGGGAAATTCCGAAAACGATTTTGCGACTTTGCTCAGCGATGTGCGAATTTGCCTCTGTATTTCAAATTTCAGTGTTTTTGGTTTGATTATATTATTGAATTAAATATATTATTATTATATTATTATTTTTTATGATTATTTATTAAATTATAATTTATGATTTCGTGTTTCAAGTTTTATCATACCCGGAATGTTTACTAGACTCTTGTTCGGACAGATTTCAGTGAGTTATTCCTAAAAATTACAGCCTACAATAAAAAACTACATATTTCCATGCAAAAAAATGGTACTGCTTTCAGCACAAAAAATCGGAGATAATCAGACCGCCGAGGAGGTTAAGAAGCCAATATGCAGGGTAATGATCAGTGTGGCAGATTAGAACACTGTTGGCTGAAATGGATGAAAAGCGACTACAATGTACATAATGCTCTAGCATATATGTAACAGCAATCAATATCTGATCATTGCTGGTGAAGTCCTGTGACGACTGGACATCTTTCATCCCTTCAATCAAACTCATTTTAGAAAATACAGATTCCCCAAAAATTGATGTGGCATTTTCATTACTCCAATGTTTCTGTTGTAAAAGCATCACATCCAGATTTTCACAGACCATCTAATATGGTCAAAAGAAGGAAGAAGGCGAGCAGTAATATTTTCTGGAGCCTCTGGTCTGTAAAATTTTGACATGAGATTTACACTTCTAAATAACATTTAGTGGCTGTGAGAAATTTAATACTGAAATTTGTATGCCAGACTTAAAGGGTAACTCCACTTTTGTGGGAAAAAAATGGCAAATAAAAAAAAAAAAAAAAAAAATATATATATATATATATATATATATATATATATATATAGTATACAATTGCTACACAACTTATATTGTAGCTAAATGTCATTAAAAAAACTACCTTTTCTTTTCAATCTGCGGTGCTGTATTTTTTTTGTAAAATGCAATGCAATATGTCTGCCTGGAGGTACTCTGTACACAGATGGTGCATAGAATACCCCCCAAAAAATATAATTTTCTGCTTGTGTGATTGACCTACTGATTTTACGAGAAGTCTGCATTAAAATACAAGTCAGATTTTGAAGGTCCTCTGCAACAAAATGTAATTTTTGTGAGATACTCCCAAATGGAAATCATGTCTAAAAGGATGCAGACCCTGACACTTTCCTAATTAGAGCCCTGCAGGTGCAGCAGCTGATTGGTATTTATAAACCACTCCCATACATATTCACTCACATGGACAAAGACAAACAAACAGCTATTATTCCTCAGAATAACAAAAGGTAAGAATCTGCAACAAAGTTTGTTAAAATCTTTGCAATGTACATAGATCACCCAGTGGAGAATGTTTTTAAATTTTTTTCTCAACAAAAGTGAAGTTACTCTATAAGTGCCTTTAAGGTGCATGCTATACAGATTAACAGACCCTTTCCCTACCTTTTTCACACTTAGCAGCTAAGTACCTCCAGCTTACTACTTTTACATCTTTATCAGATGTAAATATATAGACTACATTTTCCCCCATCTCTTTTCTCATCTGCAAACATATTGGTTCCTTCTGAGATTAGCTAATATACTGTAAAGCTTTTCGGATCTACGCTCACACACCAGTATACTGTATTAGGCAGCTCCTCAGGAGGTTGAGGGATCGTTTAGGGGGACACATCTACAATATCAGATGATGATTAAAGGGCAATAGTTTATCTGCCCATTTCAGAAAATTTCATAAGAGCGACCCAAGGGGTTAAAATTATTGGTATAGACCAGGGGTTGTATCTGTAAGACTAGATGTCCAGAGCACCCCACCACCCCCATTACATCAGATGTCAAGAATCCCACACCCTCTCTAACATCACCGTGCACACCCTTTGGGGGCAGAGGTGGAAAGCAGAAAGTGCAGGGTCTGGAGGAGGATCAGAGGAGGAGTGGAGTCAGTTACCAGAGTCTGCTGAATGCTGAGACCAGGGGAGGCAGAGATGAGGGGGTGATGCCGCTGCACTGAGAAGTGCAGGATTTAGTGCTGCTGACTGCTGAGACAAGGTGGTGGCTGAGGCAAGGGGGTACCTGCAGGAGAGGAGCAAGGGCCACATGAAATGGCCTGGAGGGCCGGATTCGGCCTGCAGGCCTTGTGTTCACACCTGTGGTATAGACAGACTACAACCCCATTGGAGAGTCTGCAGTGCAACTCAAGAGGTCTCAAGGTTGGAGATGCGTTGGATTTATGTACTAAAAGTTTATGCCCGATATGGCTTAAATGTTAACTGGGACATACATTGTTTTATCGACACTAGATAGCTCTCTCTCTTCCTTCTCTGTATCTTGTTACTAGTTAGGGAATTTCTTCTGTAAAGTATAATTAGCTATGTCAGTGAGTGTGGTTTTCCCTTCCAAAATATAAACCTTTAGAGTACTACTATGCATTTACAGTTGTGCTCAAAAGTTTACTTACCCTGGCAGAAATTGTGAAATGTTGGCATTGGTATTGAAAATATGACTGATCATGCCAAAAAAAATGCTCTTTTATTGAAGGATGATGATCTTACGAAACCATTTATTATCAAATAGTTGTTTGGCTCCTATTTAAATCATAATGATAACAGAAATTACCCAAATGGCCATGATCAAAAGTTTACATCCCCTGGAATGTTTGGCCTTGGTACAGACACACAAGGTGACACACATGGGTTAAAATGCCAATTAGAGATTAATGTTCCACATCTGTGACTTTTTAAATTGCAATTAGTGTCAGTAGTCAATGAGTTTATTAGTTCTTACATGAAAGCACTGACTAGGCTAGATACTGAAACATGGGGATCAGAAAAGAACTGTCAAAAGTCCTGCGTAACAAGGTAATGGAACTGTATAACGATGGAAAAGGACATCATTATGATTTGATTTAAAAAGGAGCCAAACAACTATTTGATAATAAATGGCTTCATATGATCATCATCCTTTAATAAAAGAGCATTTTTTTGGCATGATCAGTCATATTTTCAATATCAATGCCAAAATTTCACAATTTCTGCCAGGGTATGCAAACTTTTGAACACAACTGTACCTAGTAGAGAAGTGTTTGCTATGACAGGGAGTGTGTTTGTTTTTGTTTGTTTGTTTTTTAGTTTGTGTGTACTATCATGCATTTACAATTAATCCCCACCTTGGATGAGGGAGAATTATGTCTATAATATTTAATGTTGTAATATTCTATCATGTACCAAGAAGTTTGCCATCACAAATAGTGCTGTCAGGCATATACAGATGTATGTAGTTATGTTATAAAGAATTAAAGAGTTATCCCCTCTTATGATTCAAGAGCAAGGACTATAGTTCTGATATGGCAATAGTATGACATGCGTTAATACAATCACCATATGTTTCACTGTACAATTTTTGTGTCATGCGTTTTAGATTATCTTATTTTTTTACTTGATTTTTGAGCCTTTAGGGCAGTATCATGCGTTTATAGCCAACCTTCTTTTTTTTTCCTCTCCTTATCACTTTATCAGAGAACCATCTGGTATGACAGGAAGTGATTTTTTTTCTTTGAAATATAACCCCCTCTTTGGATCAGGGAGAAGTTTGTGTACAGTATTTGATGTTGTAATGGTTTATTATGCACTAAGTTGTTTGCGATATGTTCAGTTTTACATATGGTATTGGTATGCGTTTACATATGTACAGTACTATAAAAGAATCATGTGTTTACATATATCCCCCTCTTAAGATTTCAGAGGGTGGATTATAATTCTGATATGGCTATAATATAACATGCTTTAACACGGTCACCATGTGTTTTATTGTACATTTTTTGTCATGCGTTTTTATTTTTTTTTTATAGTTCTCTTTTTTTGTATATGATTTTATATGCTGTTTTATATTATAGGATTTGATTTGATGGATTTTATGCTGATCATTATGTATGGGAGTAATCTATTTACCTGAAGACTGCTCATCCATGTCGGAATATTAGATAATAATTTTATTTGCATGTACATGTTGACCTCTAATGTGTATGAGTGCTTTTTCTTTACCATGGTTATGAATTCTGGACTGTGAATAATTATATGGTCCTTTCATTATTTAGAGAGGTTTCAGACCTACTGCATTTTATTATCTGATTTGAATATATTTTAGGGTGTTTCTGTGGCGATTCAGCCCTACGGCAACATGGCTGAGCAGCCTGTCACCTCCTATAGGTGGGGTAAAGTGGACTACAAAAAGATGGCTGACATCAGATACTAGAGGATCCCTTAAGAATGTCAGTTTGGATGAAACTAGTCAGGACAGGGTCTCAGTGCTGATGTCATGCCACTGTACTGTTCTGGGCATTGGCAGCTTCCTTAGGCTCCATGAACACGAGCCTACCCTGACCGCCAGCCGCGGGAAAACGCAAATCGTGGCATAACCGTGGCTACCACGGTACCCGTGGTTTTGACGCATTTTGCGTTTTTCCCGCCATTGGCGGTCAAAACATTCCTACCCTGAACTCCTTTTTTTTTTTTTTTTTAAATATTTATTCATTTTTTAAGTCATATACAAAACATTTCCATATTTCTATTAAAATAATTATCTGAACAATAATTTCTATTTATGTGATTTATTTATTTATATATATAATTTCTTT